TCTGAGCCCGACTCTCTTGTGCCTTTCCAGAGTACGACTTAGAGCCCTGTGAGGAACCTGAGGTCCCCGCCTACAGCATCCGGAAGGGCTTGCAGTTTGGCGTCGGTGACACCTTGACCTTCTCCTGCTTCCCCGGGTACCGTCTGGAGGGCACCGCCCGCATCACGTGCCTGGGGGGCAGACGGCGCCTGTGGAGCTCGCCTCTGCCAAGGTGTGTTGGTAGGTGGTCACGTGCTTTCATTTTGCTTCACTAATGGGGCGGGCCAAATTTTAGTCAATTGGTGTGAGGTGGTGGACTGCACTCGACCAAGAGGCAACAGACCTGGGTTTGAGGACTGACTTAGCCCACTTAGCTTACCTGCAGTGGGACCTGGGGCAGGTGACCTTACCTCTTTCTGCTCCAGCCTCCCTATCTGTAAAATAAGGATGACAGTATCTGCATTGTGGGGCTGTTCTGTAGACTAAACTGACCTTTAAAAGTGGTCCACAGGGGACACTCACATGAACTTGATCTGTTCACTCTCACCTCCCCACCCTTAATACCCAGACCCATGGCTTAAGGATGTCTCTTGCAGAGAAATCTGAATGGGGCACTGGGTGAGCCTATGGGACAGAGGTATGACATTTGCCCATGGGCAGTCTCAGTCTGGTGCAAAAGATGGGTGCTTTTACTAATCTGATGAGGGTTGCTTACTCTTGGAGAATCCCTCACAAGACTTTATCCACTCAGCAGGGGAAGATAGAGGGAGCAGGGACTGGGTCATTTAAAGGGCGTCCATTACATATCACGTACACCGCTAGGTTCTGGAGACACAAAAGTGAGCACAACAAAAAGTCTCTCTACTCGTGCTATATTCTGGTAGGAAATCACAAGCTGTAAACACATAGAGAAGTAATGTTTCAGGCCATGTTGAAGGGTACATAAAAAAATTAAGTCAGCTTAGAAAGTATTGGAGGTAGGTTTGCTCTTTCATAAAGAGTAGTCAGGGAAGGTCTCTGATGCAAGGCTGGATGAACCACTAGCTGGATTCATGGAGGATTTACCATGCTCACTGTTAGCCCTGGAACTCACTTATAGTGAAATACTACATAAAGCCCCATAAAAATATATAAAACAGATAAAAGCAGCACTACACTGACCGACACAAAAACCAGCATCTGGAAAGTCGATGAGGTCAGCCTTGCGTGAGACAATTCCATGGACTCTCGGACTCTGCAGGAACCATTTAGGCTGGCAAGATGGGCTGTGTCTAGGCTGTGCCGTCATACAGCCCAGAGTGGAGTCTCTGCTCTGCTTTCTACCAGTGGTTCCATCTCAGGCCAGCAAACCCCTTCAGCCTCAGCCTCCTCATTTATAAAACAGAGATAACAGCATCCAACTCACAGCCTTTATTCTAGATTAAATAACATAATTTATGTAACCCAGGAGGTACCATATAATTATCATCATTTTGCCAGTAACCTTTTTATCAATATTTATTGGTAACCAATGATCGTTATTTTGCCAATAACCTTTTACAATCCCAGAGAGGAAACATACTGATAGAGTTGCAGAATTCCATTTTTGACCAGTTGAATAACCCCAAAGTTTATCTCTTCTTCCATAACCATCCCCAAAGGCATCCATGCACCCTGACCTGGCTATACATACACGCAGACACATATGGAACTCCCCCAAGGAAAGTTCAGTTTATATCTGGCTGCTAGCAGCAATTTTAGTCTCTAGGAAAACATCCTCAGCTAAGTGGTTCTGGGGAAATTTTTCTTGAATGGGATTATCCAGGACCACAGATGCACACAGCCCTTAAGCTCTTGCCTCATTGATCTCATTACATAAACTCACTCTTTAACTTATTATTCCAATTACTGTTTGTCCATGACACCTCACAATATTTTCATTATTACATTTGTCTTCTGTTTCACATATTACTAATAACACACACCAATTACAATCACCTCGAATTCCCACCAGCCCTGCTGCAGAGGCTCAAGCTGGAGGTATCACAGAAGTACGTGGTGGGGAGTGTCCCCAGGTGCCATGTGTTCTGTAGGTGTAAATTGGATTATTTAGCCCACACAGGCACTACCAGGAACATTCCCAGCTAAGAAGGAGATGAACAGCTCTGGGCTCTGATTCATGGTGTGATATGAGGGGAGGTGACACAGACCCTGATCTCAGGAGCCCCTGAATTTGATGTAGAAGACACAGCCCCAAACCCAGGGGACCCCAGTCTGCAGTGGGAGATGTGGCCATCCTTGGGAGGCCCAGTGTAATGGAGAAGACCTCCCTCTGCTTCAGGAGCTGCAGACCGATGGGTAGGATACAGCCCCTGCCCTTAACAAGGCCTTTTCTGATGAGGGCGACAGAAGTCACAGATGCCAGAATCAGCAGCAGCCTTTTCTGTGCCTGTGACTGTTTGTTTCTCGGGAACATTTATTTGTTTCCATTTATGTCTGTGTTTTGCTTCTCTGTGCATCTGCTCACCTCCCCTGCTACTTTGGAAACTCTCCCAGAAGCAAGCACCGTGTCCCTCTACCCTCCAGCACACTCCCCTGTGCCCAGGACAAAGACCTGACTGGGAGTCAGGACCTGGTAACTGGCCGCATCTAAAGCTATCAGCCCCTCCTCACAAAGGTGTTGAGCATGTGGGCAAGAGGAGAGGCTCATGCTGGGTCAGGATGGGACATATAACTGTTATGCAGGAAGAAGGGATAGGAGAGAAGTCCAAAAACGTGCCAAAGCCCATGTTCCAGGGAATCCAGCTGTTGGGAACCAGGCAGAGGGCAGTAGGCACCAGGAAGCATGAAGGTGCTCTGAGCCTTGGGCAGCTAATACGTGCTTCCCATAAGCTTCTCAGGCTTTCTGCCAGTCCCAGAACGTGGGCTGTTAGGGCTCCAAATGGAAGCAGGTAAGCTACATAGATTCACCTGGGCTAGATGGGGAGAGAAAGGAAGAGTAGCACTGGTTGAGAGCCTACTATGTGCTAACCACTCCCCATCTGTTTACCTGTCTTACACATAAAATCACATAATTTATTCTACAGTCTTTTGAGAATGCTATGCTTGTCCGCATGAAGGCAGAAGAAGAGACTGAGGTTCAGAGAGTTGATATAACTTGTTTGTCTGAATCCAAAGTCCCTGATCATCCCACTGCACCACAGGCCTCTGCCTGTATGGAGGGGAATGGTGTGTGATCAAAGAGCTAATGAAGAGATGCTTCTGAGGGCTTCCCAAGTGACATGACTGAGTAATAAGTGTTTACATGTGCACGGCCCTCAGCAAGTCCCCGAGACCCCCCTCATCTGAGGGCACTGAGGCAATGTACACATTCTGGAAACATATCTATGTAAATTATCAGCAGTCACTGCACCCAGGGTGCCTGTCCACCACTGTCCATTTAGTTTTATGCCCCAGTTCAGCACATTCATCATCATGTTTGGTTGCTCTGCAAACAGGCTGAGTTTTAAAATACTGCCAAGTTAGATTTCTCCTCCAAAGTAAATCAATGAGGGCTTATGTAAAGTCCTAGGAAAACGAAGCTGATCCTGAATTGGGCAGGACCCAGGGAGTAGTGTCTGCTGAAGAGTAGGGACTTGGTGGTAGGACATATAGTCTCCATCTTCAAAGGACTAAGGAGCAGCGCTGGGGACAAGAGAACACACAAGCATGTAACTGAGCCCATGAGAGGTTCAACTCTGAAGGTTTCCATGTGCTGTGCCTATGCTGCGCCCCCAGCCTAGTATGTTCCTGGCCTAGGGTAAAGGGTTGACTCTATGGCCAGAGCAATGGCCCTTGGTCAACCTCAGGGTCCTTCCAGCAAAGGACTGTGCCTAGAATAAGGACACTGAGAGATACTTTAGAGAAAGCAGGCTTGCTACCAGCAAACTCAAAGATTCAAGACATGCTCCAAATTCCCCATATGTCCAGACACATAATGGGCCTGCCATCTGGACTTGTGTTTACATCCTTCTGGAACCTAATTATTTTTAAAACTGTGCATCTTCTGAGGTCAGTGTACTCCATATTCATTCATTCATTCATTTGGTAAATATTTATTTTGTATACGATCTGGGCTAATCCTTGGAAAGTCATTGGCTCATAAGCATGACCTTTGCCCTCAAGTCACTCACAGTTTGGGTGGGGGACACAGGCAAGTAACAAGTAATCAGAGTACAATATGGTGGGTGCTCTGACTCTGGGAAGCACAGAGGGGCCACACAATTATTAAAGATCCTACAAGCTAGCCACGTGGTTCTGCAGTGCATGCCCAGTCTCTGAACTGCTCCCACTGTCCTCTGTCGAGCCAGCTCTGCCCACACACTGAGTGGGTGTCGAGGAGACAGTGATATGACCAAGCCCCAAGGCACCAGTGCAGTGGAGGAGACAGAAATGTTAACAAATAAGTCAAGTAAAATGGGGTGACTGCTATAAATAAAGGTATGGGAGCAATAAGGGGAAAATGACTAATTCTGGAGGAGGAGAAACAGATTCCCAGGGGAGGGTGTGATTTCATTAGCTGTTGAATGAAATGGGAGTCCAATGGGACTTGCTGAAACTTTCCCCAGGGCCAAGGAGATTGAGTTCTCAGTCCCCTCCTCTTCATGAATCGAGAGACTTGGTCTAAAGTGCGAAGCACTGGGCTCCTTATCTTAAAACCAGGGATGATAACTGTGCCTGCCATAGGGGGTCGGTTGTGACTAATAACTGAATGATCCTTGGGAAGCATCTTTCATGCTGTTTTGCACAATAAGGGTTAGTGATTATTATTTGATCTTGCCCCTTCTTCATTTCCATCCTTTGGTACTGAAAGGCTTTCTCTCCTCCCTTAACTGCCCCTCATCCCCTGACCCCCTTCTCAGTCATTGCTGTTGCTATGATACCATATGAACAGGTGTGGGGTGTGGCTGCTTTATAGCACTGTGAAAGCAGAGGGTGCCTGGTGGGTTCATTTCTGTTTCTGCAAAAGAGACACAAATGAAACGAGAGAGATGAAAAAACTCTAGGCAAGCAGGTATTTTTTAAGTTTGGTAGGCATTCCTATAGACAGGCAGACAAATGGACAGATACACAGGAATCTTGGCAGGCAGACAGGAAAACAACTTGTCATGTTGTAAGGTTCTCCAGAGCTGTGAGTTGTTTTGTGAATGGATGCATCTGATGGGGATTAATCTATGATTGTTGTGATTCTCTTTCCAGCTGAGTGTGGGAATTCAGTCACGGGCACTCAGGGTACTTTGCTGTCCCCCAACTTTCCAGTGAACTACAATAACAATCATGAGTGCATCTACTCCATCCAGACCCAGCCAGGGAAGGGGATTCAGCTGAAAGCCAGGGCATTTGAACTCTCTGAAGGAGATGTCCTCAAGGTAAAATTGATTTCATAGAGTATGTATGTTACAGTATGCAAAACCTTGGTCGACACTCGCTCCTTTGCCTCTGTGTGAATGATCCAAACTTTCTCCTTCTCTCATGAGTCCCAAGATATTGTCCTTGCCCATCTGGGAGAAAGTGAGGACCAAAAAGAGGGGGGCATGTAAATGTCTAAGAGTATGGTTTTAGAGTTTGTTTAGAAGCTGCCTGTTATTAAATACATGTGTGATTGAGTATGGGTTAATTGCATAATAAAAGATAATAATAAATTCAGTGGAGCAACCAATGGATCCAGGTTGCCATTGTGAATGCTGGCCATCAACATGGGTAATGAAGAGCTCATAGAATGTGTTTTCATGTTCATGTGTGGGTTCCTTTGTGTAGGTATGTGTTTAAGAATATAGATGATTTTATACATATGTTCCCATATGTGTGTGAAGCTGTGTCTATTTTTTTAATCTGGTTCTGGGGATCTGTGTCTGTGCATATTTGGCCAGCACATTTTGTATACATGCACTTATATGTGCTTTGAGTGTATGCTTTGGTAGACTAGTGGGCTATTGCAGTAGCTCCAGTGTGCCATGATGATGGCCTATGCATGGCAGTGGGTTAAAGAAAGTGAATTCAAGGCATGTGTAAGAGAAATAAATGACAGAGCTTGGATTACAGAGAGGCTTATAAAGAGGAATTTCTTAAGACACATCTTGTGTTTCTTTGTATGTGTGTGATTAAGTGGTCTCTCCAGTAAGGTTTATTGTATATGTGTGTGTAATCAAAGAGTTAACTTTGGGGAAGTTGTTAAAGAAATACCTTAATAAAATGGTTATAAGGAAAACCTCACACAGGGTATGTCCATTTTCATCCTAGGCCAAGGAATTTTTTTAGTTTATTCTGTTATTGTTTTATTCCCTGTAGCCAGAGAAGTCCTGACATTGGAAAAAGTTTAAACAACCTGGAAAATCCAAAGGGAATCCATGAAATCCCTATCCTTTCAGATTATGTGCTGCCCTTCTTATGCACAAATTACAAATGATACTCTGGGCTCACTTATTGGGGCATGTGTTCTTATGTGGGTGGGTGGG